AGATAGATAGACAAGTAGGCAGATAGACCTTTTTGATTTTCATTCAGTATGTGCGCACTCTTTTTTGTTCCTTTCCGTCCTTGCTTGTGTCAAGGTTGAGGAATTTCGCTGCTTTTCGGGATGCGCTGCCCATGCGGCAAGTCTGTCAAAATTCATTTTTGTGACACTTACACACTCTGGCAAGTCCTGAAGACGAAGCTAGGCTTGACGAAAGGACCCAGAGATGCGAGTATATTGCTTCCACCTCAACTTTGCCCGCGATGCCCCGATAGGGCACAATTTATCCGAGACTCCGCATGCATGGCGGAGACTATTTGTTGGCCATCGCTCTCCTTCTCACTCAACTACGTAGGCTAGTTTGCTAACTCTCAAGAGGGTGTGCACTGCATCGGACTAGAACTGTGGATCTTCCCAGTCCCCGAGCCACAAGCTGAGCCAAAGCTTCAATTGCCACTGCACGTTCTGTCATCAGTACACGGGCATGTCTCAAGTCCGCACACTTGCCAACCCGCGCAGACTGGTGGAGCTTTGAGCTCACCATTTGCAGCGGGAACTCACAAAGTTAACTTGAATTCATCGATCCCTCATGCAGCTCATCGGCTTTCACGGCTCCATTGTACAATGTGTCCAGTACTACACCACAACAACGTCCTGCACATCCAAACATTGAAAGTGCAAAAAGCAACTTCACGAAGGCTCCTGAGGCTGCCCTGTGTGCACTGAAGCACAGGCTGACTCACAGCAGAGCCCTCTGCGAGCGGCTCGCAACTCTCAGTTCTGGCTTGCACCGCTTTGTCCAGCTGTCTCACTAGAGACCTTCTGTAGCTGCAACAGCTCCCGCACTGAGTTTGCTATCCTTGGCTGTGCTTGCCTTCCTGGCATCACAAACCACTTCCGAGACTGCAGCCAAAGCGCGCCGTGACATCAGTTTGCGGCTCGCCCACACGACCCCAGTTTTCCTGCGTGATTGTTGGTGCTTGCTGCGGCACTGTCGCGCTTTTGCATGCTAGTGCCTCGTTTTCCATGACCTCATGACATGGCCGCCTAGGTCCTGAGTCAGCTCCAGGATGAAATCGGGATCCTTAATTTTGCAGAAGCGCGCTGCAGTGCACCGTTGCAGGCTTGCTGGAACTTGAATGACACGGAACAGCAGCAAGAACTCTTCTAGCCGTTTCTAGCCGCAGCTAAGAAGCCCGGAATCGCAGCTTGCAGCGCGACAGGCAGGTTTGAAAAATGTAGGTGTTTTGCACCATGAGAATGAAGGCTGCCAAGTCAGAGAGCTCCACATGAACTGTGCGATGTCCTGGCAAGTGTTTCTTCAATTGAACTGTGTCGATTTCGGCATATCATTTCTTGCAAGACGACAGCGACTTCGCCATGCTTCAAGCCGCACATGTCTGCAAGACAACAAACAGGCTCCAGCTGCTGCGTTCCAAACCATGTTGTGCTTCATGCCGGATCGAAGTGGTGCGCACACACACACACACCCTTCTTGTGCCATTCTTTGGGCATCAGGGCGAAGCGACAACTCACGCTAGTGCTAATCTCGGCGTACACGAACTGACTTGTGGATGTCAAGAGAATTAGGTTTCCTCAATTGAGGCCGCACCAATACTACTATCATTTTACATGACTTTGGGCACATGACTGTATCTTTGACTCATGTTAGACTAAATAAAGCAAGTACCTGTGGCAGTCTTGGATTCATACGATGCAAGCAACAAGATGAATCGGTCGCTCCAGGCGGAGCCTAAGTATGCTTCTTTGCGAGGGTGAGGGGCGGTTTGTGCGCGGAGCATGGGGCTCATCAGCAGACGTGTGTTCCGCGTGCTTCATTGGAGATGGGCATGGGTAAGCACTTTCTGTACAAAGCGAAGTGGCATTCAGCATGGTCCCACAAACAGCCTCCTAAGCAAATTTGCGAGCATCGTTAGGGGATCGTTTGGGGTATCGTTTTAGACCACCTACTCGCGCACCCACGCATACTGCTCGCCATGCCCGCGCATGCTCGCACATACTCGCGCACACCCGCGCATACACATGCATACTCGTGCATACTCTCGCATACCTGGCGCTCCCCAAACTCCCCCAGAGGTCGCATTTCCCGCTACAGTGGCTGCTGCTGCTGCTGCTGCTGCTGCTACTACTACTGCTACTACTCCTCCTCCTCCTGCCGCTGCTGCTGCTGCTGCTGCTGCTCCTCCTCCTCCTCCTCCTACTACTACTACTACTACTACTCCATTTGTTGGTAAACTGTTGCATGCGCGAGCATTGCATAGGTACGAGCGAGTATGCACGGGAATGCGCGACTAATATTAATCAGTGTACAACACATGAGTGGTGGTAGCGGTAGTAGTAGTGGTAGTAGTAGTAGTAATAATAATGATTATAGTAGTAGTAGTTGTTGTAATAGTAG